GGGCTCCCTCACTGGGAGCTGCCCTGCAGGGCCGTACCTGCCTCCCCAGCCCGGCCATGCCCCCACCCTCGGGGGGGTCCCTGGGACCTCTGTGCTCCTTGTTGGCACCCTGGGCAGGCACAGCTGCTGGCGCAGGGAGAGGTTTTCCAGCTGCAGGGCATGGATTTCTTGCTCCAGGGTTTGCAGCAGCTTCTCCCGGGACACCTGAGACCACAAGGGAGTGGCTCAAGGGGGTCCCAGCAAGCAGGGCAGAGAACTCCAGAGCCCCTGCCTGCTATACCCGATTGACCAGGGGCCTGGTGGTGACCCTTCGGGCTCTGCTGGCATAGTGCAGTGTGCTCAGCGTCTCCGAGAGGCAGCGCGAGGATGGGGAGATGCAGGCGACCTGCCACGAGGAAGAGCTGCAGGTGAGCTCCAGCCAAGGGGTCACCCATCCTCCTCCTGCCTACACCTCCACGGGGTGAGACCACAGCCCTCTGCAGCTTCGTGCAGCTCTGCCCAGCTCCCTCCATGCACGTACCATCAGGGTGACCCCCGAGCCGCCCAGGGAACGGGCCAGCAGCCGGGTGAGTTTGCTGTCCCGGTAGGGAATGTGCATCCGCTTCCCTCGGGGTTTGGCCAACAGAGAGATGCAGTGTCCTGCCAGGGGACAAGCCACAGAGGGTACAGCCAGGCTCTGACAGGGACCAGCAGCTCATGCTCCCACGGGGGGTGGGGTTCCCTGGCTCTTACCCAGTGCCAGGAGGCTGCGGTTGATGTTGTTGGCCTCCACGGAGAGCTCCCCACTGGAGCCGGTCTCCTTCACTCGCTCGCTGCCAGCCAGGTCCACGAAGCACAGTGTGCCCTGCTTGCTGGGGCAGGTGCTGGGCTGGGGGGACCCAGGTTGTGGGGGTGATGCTCTGCTCCCCCCGCCTCACCCCTTCCCCGTGGCCCACACCTGGCTCCCTGCTGTTAGCCCCAGCCCCACCAATGTATCGCTGGGGAGGAGGAGATGTCCCCTCAGCCTGGGGCTGTTTGCACCCCCATAAAGAACCCCTTCCCCCCCAGTCCTCCCCCACGTGCCCAGAGCAGGATTGGTGCTCACAGCCCGGCTGCGGATGTGGATGGTCAGGAGAGCGTGGCTGCGGCTCGAGTGCTTGTTGAGGGCATGGGCTGAGGTCCGTCGCCTCTGGGATCCTGCTGGGTGGGATTCAGAGCTGACAGGGGCCACCATGCCCCAGGCCCTGGCACAGCACCCATTGTCCACCCCCCCTGCCAGACATGAGCCTGCCTGGGCTTTGCAGCAGGACAAGGAGCTGACCTTGGCTGCCGTGGGAGACCCACCAGCCCTGGGGATGGTCTGCAGGGGGCTGAGACCCCCAGTAATGGGTCTGGCACCCCCTGAACATGCCCCAGCCCTGCATCTGTGGCTCAGCACCTTGCAGGAGCAGATCAGCGATGGCCTCCAGGCTCTCAAAGTCCACACTGAGCTGATTCTCCACATAGAAGCCACGGGTCTTGCTCCACCGCAGGGGCAGGGCACATGGTGGCCCCGGGCTCAGCAGGTCCCGGACCTGGGGGGTACGGAGGAGGGGAAGGCATCAGGGGAGCAGGGAGTTCCAGTGGGGCTGGACTGGGTGACTGTGTGGTCACTTACCTGCTCATTGTGGATCTCCAGGTAGGAGGCACTGAGCAGCAGGTCAGAGCCACGGCTCCGGCTGTGCTCCAGGAGGCAGGAGAAGGATCTCTGCATCAGCCCCAGCAGCCCCGGGGCCGCCGGGCGGGTCTGGCTCTGCGGAGATGCCGGGAGGGCAACAAGTCACGCTGCTTCGGAACCCACCTCCTCCCGACGCCTCGTGCTGGCGCCCAGGCAAGAAGAGCCCATGGCACGGCTGGGATCAGGTCAGGCGGGGGGGGAGGGATGTCGTTGTACCTGAGCGAGGGGTCCCATCAGGGTGTAGGTCTTTCCCGC